ATTTAAACATAAAAAAACAGCATTTTGATAACAACTAAAGGTGACATAAATACTTTATTACGGTATAGTATTTAAATATATGCCTGAGAAACACATAATATTGGCCCGTTAAAAAACCTCCTAAATTTTAACTAGTTTCAACTTATCTTGTATTTGTCGCAGTAAAACCTTGATAATGTGCTAAAAAGATTAATAACTAAGAAGAAACTACTGTTTATTGCAGCAAGCATGATTTATGTGGATCTGCGATTTTGGATTTTTGGAACCAGACACTGTGTTCAGATTCAGGGGCTGCATCCTTTGAATGAGCCAGCTTACCTGGTCTAGGTGGGCCYGGTCCTTGGTCGACTGTGAAGACCATGAGAAAGTGACTGTTTGTAATAGCTCATTTGATTTCTGACAAGAAATATATTAAATTTCTACGTTCACACTGCAGGTCTTAATGCTCAGTTCCAATTTTGGAAAAAATCCGATCTTTTTGTGTGAACGTTCACATTACATTTTAAATGTGACTTGCATCAGACCCCTGTGTGAACGCTACACAGCACTGATGTGACACGCATGCGCAGTAAAAGACGTGACGTCTCATCAGCCGGCTTGTTTGTTTACAGAGGATGGATGCTACTTTTTGCACATTGAATCTGAAGTTGTTGTTTAATCAGAGCCGATTAAAAAATTATCCGACATGTTTGTTTAGTTCAGTGTTTATATCTGAACCTGCCTCTGACCGGGATGTTCCGGTGAAACTTTTTATTTTTGAACGAAACAACGAGCTGGAAATAAAGTATCTGAGTAACTTTAGGGTCGATACTCTCCACGACCCAGGCTGGACGTTACTATCTACATGGAAAATGAAAAATAAAATGATGAAGCAACTGGACTTGTGTTTTGGAGCTGTAAACACARGGAGCTACAGATTTAAACAGCGAGACTTGAGGTTAGTGTCTTATCGATCCTTCACCCCCTCCTCCTGATGAAAAAGTCAGATGAATGTGACATGAGCGTTCACACTGCAGTCACTTTGAAAACATCAGATATACAGTATATKCGATTTAAAACCACATACTGAAACGGCCTGGGTCGGATTTGAAAKAATCGGATTTGTCTCGTTCAGACTGTCATAAAAAAATCAGATATGAGTCAGATGGGGCAACAAAAAATCAGATTTGTGTCGCGTTTGCCTGCAGTGTGAATGTAGCCAAAGCAAAAATAATAAAAGCCCAACAACACAACTGCTTGAAACTTAAATTTTATGCTGCCAGATTTTACTCATTTCATCTGACATTAGAAGCAAAAAAAAAATCTCCGGGTTGAACAGCAATTCATCTTGGGATATGGTGGGCTGAGCAAAAATTCACTTGTCCCTCAAATCGGGGAAAAGAGAGGATACATTTTTGGACCGTAATTAGAGGGGTCTTCAAATTTGTACAGCCTTCGGCCTGGTGCATTGATGTTGTCTACCAATATATTCAGCCTWCAAATGATGCAACCACTGAATGTAGACCACATGACCTTATTTTAAAAGGAAGTCCTGCGTGTTTGACTGTAGAGGAGGTGCCCAAAAATAGAAGAAATCTGAGAAGAAAAAGCTGAATAACTGTCCAATCAGAGCCCTGCACCGTGGAGACCCACCCCTTTAATGATTGATTTGAGTTTATTCAGTAAAAATAATAGCATACATGTAATAAGCGGTACATGCATTAAAAAAACTTGAACACAAGAATGTAAAGACACTTATTTTTTTATTTTGAATCCTTCAGGGGCYACAGACAGCAACAGCTTTCTCAACTTCCAGGTTCCCGTCAGATGTCTAGACTTATATTTTATTAAAATGTAGCTGAATATTTAAACTTAAACAAACAATAAAGGTTGTGAATACGTGGGGAAGATGAGATTTTAAGAATTAACTTAAATGAATTTTATTGTTTCTTAAATACTGATATTAGAATCAGGAATGATGAAGAATAAACAGTTTGTAGCTCTATTTTAATTTGTTTTTAATACACTTTTTTTTTTCATTTCACAATATTTGGCACAAGAGCTAAAACCTTAAAAATGACCAAAAGAAACTGTTAGCTCCCTCCTTCAGTTAATAACTCATAAAAGATKCGTTTCTTATGGGTGTCTTCGTCGACGACAACATAAATAGTAACGTCAGGGCGTCAATTCCTTTGCACCAAATAAGGCGGGAAATGTCAGAATCTTTATAGAAGGTATGAAAGCCTCATAAAACTTTATTTTTGAGGAGAAAACATCAATTTATTGTCATCAAACGAAACAAATTCTCCAACACAGATGAAGCTTTTATTTTGTTTGTCTTATTTTTAAGAAACCCATCACTTCACGGCGCGGGCGGTAAAACTCATGGATTTATAAAATGTTTACTTTTTATTTTGTGCACGCTGTGAAAGTAGAGTCGACAGCTGGGAACGGAAAAGCTATTACAGTCTGTGGATATTTCTTTCTTCCTCCTCTGGAGCGAATCACAGAGCTGTCAGGAAGTGTGTATCAGCGGCTCCACAACAAGGATATTAATATCAGACGATCAGCCCAGAACCCAACTTTTAAAGYTCTGCTGTCTGCGGGAATTTGTTAAACCTGATTGTTTTTCTATCCCAGGGAAAATGGAACGTCCGTCGAGCCGTACGGTTCTCAAATTAGAGAGTAAAGGAAAGCAAAAAAAGCTGCTTCAGCTTCTTCTATTTTCTGCTGCGGCAGAGTCACGGCCAATTGAAGTTTAAGTGATCAATTTGAAAAGCGAAGAGCTCGGTGATCAARGCCCTAACGGCTCAAACACCGATGTTCTGTCGCCGTGATGAAGGACAGCTCGAACTGCCCCTGACAGCTTGTCTCTCAGTCTCACCGCTCTCCTCTTCCTCACCGCTAAACAYAGAAAGAAACTAATCGGCGTGCGTCAGAGCGTCTCGTTCGGCGCGTTAAGATTAAAGTTTTTTTACAGCAAGAGAGCAGGGTGTGAAAAGAAAGAAAAACGAAACACGTGCGTGGGACACGTGCGCCGGTGAGTCCAGAGGTTTTTACTGAACATTTCCTGTGAGAAATTGCCTCCAATGAAATTGTTTCCTCGGCCGGGGAGGAAGAAAACGCTGCAGTTTGTGCTTCGACACGCTGATGAAGCCGAACGCCACAGAGTCACGACGAGATTTTCACCGATCAACATGGCGCCAGATCACAAAARATGACACTGAAAACCCGCCTGAGTTCTTTCTCCTGACATTCAGAACTCTGGCTAATGCATAAATAACACATATTCACAAAGTGCAGAGCCAAAAAAGAAAGAAAGAAAACAAACATAAAAATACAAAGACTTCTTGTTGTTGAGACAAATACATCCATCGTAAATATTAAGACACCTGTCGGCGGTCCAACGAATCGCTATGAGTCCACGGGTTCCCAGAGGTGAGTGCGGAGAGGAAAGCACGACCAATCAACCAGCGCCACGGCTTTCTCACCACCGCACCACCTGACTACTATAATCCTCAGTGGTGACGACCTCCTCTAGCACCTTCACCTCCTCCTCTACCTCCTCCTCAGCTCCTCCTCCTCCCAGTCTCCACAGCTCCAGCAGGTAGTTCCTGTGCAGCCGCTGCCTCTCTTGCCGCCGCCTCTGACGCTCCTCCTGGTGCTGCTTCTGCCGGTTGTACTGGTAGCGCCGCAGGAACAGCTCCTTGCCGTACTCGTACAGCTCCACGTCCAGGGCGTTGAGGCCCTCGATGCGCCACCGCACCTTCTCGCTGATCCCCACGCTGGCGGCGCGCGTGCTGTTGATCTGGGTGAAGGCCCGGATGAAGCGCAGGCCGAACGTCCTCTCAAACAGGTACTGCGTCTTGCGCTGGAACTCGGTCAGGCCGAAGAAGGCCATGTTGCGCAGGTTGGCCTTGGCGCTGGRGAGGAGCACGCGGCCTCGCTCCAGCTCGCTCATGGAGGACATGTTGTAGCAGCCCACCAGGCTGAGGTCGGCCAGCATGCGCACCTGCCGGTTGTTGGCCAGGTTGGAGGGGCAGTTCATGAAGTCTGCGAGCGACACGCCCGTCCAGTCGTCCCCATTGTAGCAGGCGGGGAGCTCGTCCTGAGTGGGGGGCCGACCGTCGCACATGTGGAGAGCGGTTTTCCACGTAGCGCCACGCTGAACGTGCTTCCACTCGCTGAGGTAGCGTGACACTGGGTCACGTAGCATAGTTATGTAGTAGAAATTCCTGCAGAGACACAAAGACACAGGATGACCTATTAGTGTGTAGGACATGTTTTACGTCGGGATGGGTACCAAATTTGATACTTTTTTAAGTACTGACCAAATTCTGTCGGTACTACCGAGAACCTATTGACGTAACATCAAACGGTACTATGTTTTGGTACCRAAACGCATCATTGCAACTGTATTGGCGTAACAGTGGTGAGTTTTCCATGCTTGTCCTGAACGCAGCATCGCGCAAGAGCGTAATGACGTCAGCAGCTGCTGGTAAACAGAGGCGGAGCTTGGTCTGAACGTAGRTTGAAAGCTCCTGGAGTGAAACTCACCGAACGGACCACCTCTGATTTATRTGGTGGATTAATTATCTTGTGAACATGACGTTCGCTTGCTCAAAGTAAATAAAATACCYRCACTTTCTTTATTTTATCGTCATTAAACACAGAACGGCAGAGGAAAACAACAGAGGGGCTTCCCGACAGTCCTAACGCACTTGACCTGAAAGAGCACAAGCAGCTAACTTGAAGAGTTGGACGTGTTTTGGATGCTCAAAACATAGCTTGAATAACTTTTATTTATTTTAACTCCATCCTCTTTTGTTTATTTGATTTAAACTTATTTGCCTTCCATGGACCTCCATCACACAATTTTTCTAGCGGGGAAATGACATCAATAGAAATACATGGAGCTGGATTTTAATTTGTGCAATAAGACAAAACACTAAGTTGTTTTCAAGAGTTTTCACTTTAAAGAAATAAGTTACACAACTGATGTTACAATACAAAGAGATGGATGTTGTCTTGACATTTATTAATTTTATATATTGAGAGAAATATGTAAAAAAAGTTTATTATTTAAAAAAAAACACACACAAAGTACCGCGATTCCCATGTACCGGAAATTGGCATCGAATCAATTCAAATGTCAAAGGTACCCATCCCTAGTCATCACAGGCTTTAAATACCAACAAGATGGGAATCTGAATCATCACTCTATCTAAACTTTTATGCAGAGTTGTAAAGTAATTCTTTACTGTACTTAAGTAGAATTTTTGGGTGCCTGTATTTTACTTGAGTAATTATTTTTAAGCCTAATTTTTACTTCTACTTCTTACATTTTAACACAATTATCTGTACTTTCTACTCCTTAAATTTTTAAAAAAGATAAGAAGTAGAA